ATGTATGTTGTGTTGCCTCTGGTGCCTCTGTTTTGTTCCATTGGTCTATATCTCTGTTTTGGTACCAGTACCATGCTGTTTTGATTACTGTAGACTTGTAGTAAAATTTGAAATCCGGTAGTGTGATGCCCCCCGCTGTGTTCTTTTTGCTTAGAATTGACTTGGCTATGCGGGCTCTCTTTTGGTTCCATATGAAGTTCATGGTGGTTTTTTCCAGTTCTGTGAAGAAAGTCGATGGTAGCTTGATGGGGATAGCGTTGATTCTGTAAATTACTTTGGGCAGTATAGCCATTTTCATGATATTAATTCTTCCTAACCATGAACATGGAATGTTTCTCCATCTGTTTGTGTCCTCTCTGATTTCATTGAGCAGTGGTTTGTAGTTCTCCTTGAAGAGGTCTCTTACATTCCTTGTGAGTTGTATTCCAAGGTATTTTATTCTTTTTGTAGCAATTGTGAATGGCAGTTCGTTTTTGATTTGGCTTTCTTTAAGTCTGTTATTGGTGTAGACGAATGCTTGTGATTTTTGCACATTGATTTTATGAGACTTTGCTGAAGTTGCTTATCAGTTTCAGGAGTTTTTGGGCTGAGGTGATGGGGTCTTCTAGGTATACTATCATGTCGTCTGCAAATAGAGACAATTTGGCTTCCACCTTTCCTATTTGAATACCCTTTATTTCTTTTTCTTGCCTGATTGCTCTGGCTAGACCTTCCAGAACTATATTGAATAGGAGTGGTGAAAGAGGGCATCCTTGTCTAGTGCCAGATTTCAAAGGGAATGCTTCCAGTTTTGGCCCATTCAGTATGATATTGGCTGTTGGTTTGTCATAAATAGCTTTTATTACTTTGAGATACGTTCCATCGATACCGAGTTTATTGAGGGTTTTTAGCATAAAGGGCTGTTGAATTTTGTCAAATGCCTTCTCTGCGTCAATTGAGATAATCATGTGGTTTTTGTTTTTGGTTCTGTTTATGTGGTGAAATACGTTGATAGACTGGCGTATGTTGAACCAGCCTTGCATCCCTGGGATAAATCCTACTTGATCATGATGAATAAGTTTTTTGATTTGCTTTTGCAATCGGCTTGCCAATATTTTATTGAAGATTTTTGCATCTATGTTCATCATGGATATTGGCCTGAAGTTTTCTTTTCTCGTTGGGTCTCTACCGGGTTTTGGTATCAGAATGATGTTGGTCTCATAAAATGATTTGGGAAAAGATTCCCTCTTTTTGGATTGTTTGAAATAGTTTTAGAAGGAATGGTACCAGCTCCTCCTTGTGTGTCTGGTAGAATTCGGCTGTGAACCCGTCTGGACATGGGCTTTTTTTGTGTGGTAGGCTCTTAATTGCTGCCTCAACTTCAGACCTTGTTATTGGTCTATTCATAGTTTCAGCTTCCTCCTGGTTTAGGCTTGGGAGGACACAGGAGTCCAGGAATTTATCCACTTCTTCCAGGTTTGCTAGTTTATGCGCATAGAGTTGTTTGTAATATTCTCTGATGATGGTCTGAATTTCTGTGGAATCTGTGGTGATTTCCCCTTTATCATTTTTTATTGCATCTATTTGGTTGTTCTCTCTTTTCTTTTTAATCAATCTGGCTAGTGGTCTGTCTATTTTGTTGATCTTTTCAAAAAAACCAGCTCTTGGATTTATTGATTTTTTGAAGGGTTTTTCGTGTCTCAATCTCCTTCAGCTCAGCTCTGATCTTAGTTATTTCTTGTCTTCTTCTGGGTTTTGAGTTTTTTTGATCTTGCTCCTCTAGCTCTTTCAATTTTGACGATAGGGTGTCAATTTTGGATCTCTCCATTCTCCTCATATGGGCACTTATTGCTATATACTTTCCTCTAGAGACTGCTTTAAATGTGTCCCAGAGGTTCTGGCATGTTGTGTCTTCGTTCTCATTGGTTTCGAAGAACTTCTTTATTTCTGCCTTCATTTCATTGTTTACCCAGTCAACATTCAAGAGCCAGTTGTTCAGTTTCCATGAAGCTGTGCGGTTCTGGGTTGGTTTCTGAATTCTGTGTTCTAACTTGATTGCACTATGGTCTGAGAGGCTGTTTGTTATGATTTCAGTTGTTTTGCATTTGTTGAGCAGTGCTTTACTTCCAATTATGTGGTCAATTTTCGAGTAGGTGTGATGTGGTGCTGAGAAGAATGTGTATTCTGTGGAATTGGGGTGGAGAGTTCTGTAAATGTCTATCAGGTTTGCTTGCTCCAGGTCTGAGTTCAAGCCCTGGATATCCTTGTTGATTTTCTGTCTGGTTGATCTGTCTAGTATTGACAGTGGAGTGTTAAAGTCTCCCACTATTATTGTGTGGGAGTCTAAGTCCTTTTGTAAGTCATTTAGAACTTGCCTTATGTATCTGGGTGCTCCTGCATTGGGTCCATATATGTTTAGGATCGTTAGCTCTTCTTGTTGTATCGATCCTTTTACCATTATGTAATGGCCTTCTTTGTCTCTTTTGATCTTTGTTGCTTTACAGTCTATTTTATCAGAGATGAGAATTGCAACTCCTGCTTTTTTTTGCTTTCCATTAGCTTGGTAAATCTTCCTCCATCCCTTTATTTTGAGCCTTTGTGTATCCTTGCATGTGAGATGGGTTTCCTGGATACAGCACACTGATGGGTTTTGGCTTTTTATCCAATTTGCCAGTCTGTGTCTTTTGATTGGTGCGTTTAGTCCATTTACATTTAGGGTTAATATTGTTATGTGTGAATTTGATACTGCCATTTTGATGCTAAGTGGCTGTTTTGCCTGTTAGTTGTTGTAGATTCTTCATTATGTTGAAGCTCTTTAGCATTCAGTGTGATTTTGGAATGGCTGCTACTAGTTGATCCTTTCTATGTGTAGTGCCTCTTTTAGGAGCTCTTGTAAAGCAGGCCTGGTGGTGACAAAATCTCTGAGTACTTGCTTGTTTGCAAAGGATTTTATTTTTCCTTCATTTCTGAAGCTCAGTTTGGGTGGATATGAAATTCTGGGTTGAAAGTTCTTTTCTTTAAGAATGTTGAATATTGGCCCCCACTCTCTTCTGGCTTGTAGTGTTTCTGCTGAGAGATCTGCTGTGAGTCTGATGGGCTTCCCTTTGTGGGTGACCCGACCTTTCTCTCTGGCTGCCCTTAGTATTCTCTCCTTTATTTCAACCCTGTTGAATCTGACGATTATGTGCCTTGGGGTTGCTCTTCTTGTGGAATATCTTTGTGGTGTTCTCTGTATTTCCTGCAATTGAGTGTTGGCCTGTCTTGCTAGGTGGGGGAAGTTTTCCTGGATGATGTCCTGAAGAGTATTTTCCAGCTGGGGTTCATTCTCTTCGTCCCCTTCTGGTACACCTATCAAACGTAGGTTAGGTCTTTTCACATAGTCCCACATTTCTTGGAGACTTTGTTCATTCCTTTTTGCGCTTTTTTCTCTAATCTTGGTTTCTCGTTTTATTTCATTGAGTTGGTCTTCGACTTCAGATATTCTTTCTTCTGCTTGGTCGATTCGGCTATTGAAACTTGTGCATGCTTCGCGAAGTTCTCGTATTGTGTTTTCCAGCTCCTTTAATTCATTCATATTCCTCTCTAAGTTATCCATTCTTGTTATCATTTCCTCGAATCTTTTTTCAAGGTTCTTAGTTTCTTTGCATTGATTTAATACATGATCTTTTAGCTCACAAAAGTTTCTCATTATTTATCTTCTGAAGTCTAATTCCATCATTTCGTCACAGTCATTCTCTGTCCAGCTTTGTTCCTTTGTTGGGGAGGAGTTTTGATTTTTTCTAGGAGGCGAGGTGTTCTGGTTTCGGGTGTTTTCCTCCTTTTTGCGCTGGTTTCTTCCCATATTTGTGGATTTGTCCGCTGGTCGTCTGCGTAGTTTCTGACTTTTCGATTGGGTCTCTGAGTGGACACCCAGAATGTTGATGATGAAGTATTTCTGTTGCTTGGTTTTCCTTCTACCAGTCTAGCCCCTTCGCTGTACGACTGCTGAGGTCCACTCCAGGCCCTGCTTGTCTGGGGTGCACCTCTAGCAGCTGTGGCACAGCGAGGGATGCTACCAGTTTCTTTTTCTGCTATCTTTGTCCCAGGATGATGCCTGCCTAATGTCAGTCTTTTGGATATAGAGGGGTCAGGGAGCTGCTTGAGGAGACAGTTTGTACTTTATAGGGGCTTAATTGCTGAGCTGTGAGCTCTGTTGTTCATTCAGGCCTGTTAGGCTGCTATGTTTGATTCTGCTGCAACAGAGCTCATTGAAAAAACCCTTTTTTTTCTCAAATGCTCTGTGTTGAGGGGTTTGGGCTTTATTTTTGGATGTCCGTTGAGGTCCTGCCCAGCTAGGATGCAGACGAGCCACTGTTTGCCTGCTGAGGCTCCGCCCTGCTGTCGTGAGGCTCGCCCTGGCTCCGCTGTTCTGCTGTGTTCTTTGCCACACCCTGCGGCGGAGTCTCTCTGTTGTAGCGGGTTGCCTCGGCAACGGCAGGCTGCGTCAGCAATGGACGTGTATCTCAGTTAGGGCGGGTTGCCTCGGTAATGGTGGACGCCCCTCCCCCACAGAGCATCTCGGGCCGTCTGTACGGGGCTTGTTTGAAATCACGGTTTTGTTCGTCCCACTAGGCCACCCCTAACGCTCTGTCCCTGCAATCCCCGGGCTGGCCTACTGTCCAAGTCTAGCTCAGTCTCAAGTCCAGCCCTCTCATGTCTCCAGTTGCCGGTTCAACAGGGCACCCGGACAAGCGCGCCCTGTGGGGAGCGCTAAGCAGGGCCGGCCGCCGCCACCCCGGCTGCCGGCTTCACCAGGCGGAGGTTCTGCCTGGCGTCCCGCGTCTCCTCTTCACTTGGGAATTTCCCCGTTCCATGGGCAACAAAGATCAGTCTGGAAATGCAGCTCAGACTCACCTCTCCGCAGACTCAACGCGAGCTCCAATCCTGGGTTGTTCTCACAGCGCCATCTTGAGTCCCCCCCCTTGATTTTCTTTAGATGGTTGACTGTTGCTAATGATGGTTTGCATTGTCCTTATTTCCAGTGTGGAATAATTTATTGGCTATTTCGTGGTGCTATCAGGAATCTCAGCAGCCCTGAACATGTTACTAAGTGGTTTCAGCCACTCCAGGTATGATGTTTTCCTCAATATTGGTCTTCTATGGAAAGCCTTAAAAATATGTAGTAGATAGATATGCATATGTATGCATTCGAAGAAAAACAAAATAAAACAGAATTTGTGTCATCGAAAATCTTGTTAAGAATAAAAATTCCGAGACTATCTTTTTTATATTGCATTGAGCTTGTCATGTTGTTAAACTCACATTCGCTATCATCAGACTGTGTTTTAATAATTTTCTCCAACCCACCTCTCTCTCTCTCACCATCTTACTTAATGATCTGGGAGGTCTGCATTTGGAGCAACTGTCAGACCAGCTAATTCCCTTCTAACATCTGGTAAACTACAGGAGCAGAAATACACTGGAATGTTTGCAATGACCGAGAGGGGCCATGGGAGCAACGTGAGAGGGATCCAGACCGAAGCTACCTTTGACCTCTCTGCCCAGGTGAGGAATCTGTCCTTCTCCTGCCATCCAGGGCAGCAGAAAACCTGAACAGAACCAGATCTGCTTCTTTCTGTGTCTAGCTTCACACTCTCTGTGTGTGCTTTCTGGCCAAGGGAGCTGAGATTCAGAGTAAATGTCTATGTGTTTTAATAGAGGTGATATGTGCTCAGCCATCATGAACCCAACACCAGCCAACATTTATATGGTATGTTTGAGGCACTGGGCACTGCTCTGACACTTTATGTTCACTTGTGAATGTAATCCCCTGTCATAACTCTGAGAGAACACTAAAGCCATTTGGTCAGCCTTTCCTAACAGTAGCAGGAAAGGACTGGAGGAGAAGCCTTTGTTAGTTCTCTCCACTGTGCCATGTGTCAGGAGGGCACTGACTGTGCTGGGGCTGCCTTAGCAGGAGCTGAGTCGTCTGTACTGGGATTATGTGCTGTTTCTTACCTTTACCTGCACTGACATTTTGCATGGCAACAGAAACAAGAGTGGCACCAAAGAATCTGACTGTTCTAACTTTACTATGTGTGGTCAGTGCTAAGGTTTTTCCTTTTCATTCTTTTCTTTCTCTTCCTTTCCCTTTCTTTTTCTTTTCTTTGTTTTTCTTCCTTTCCCTTCCCTTCTTGATAATTAAAAAGATGTTACCTAAGTCTCTCTACGTTGCAATCTCTGTCCATAGTGGATCACAACGTACCGTGGGGACGCTGCTCTGTAACCCTCATGCCCATCTCTTTAACTCCTACAGCCACCTCCCGCCCTACCACCAACCACAGAAAAAGAAAGCACCTGTGTACTTATCTTACTCTTCTTTATAGTTTCTTGCTTAATATTGGGTGTTCCTAAGAATTGCAAAGGGATAAATACATGTTGAGTTTCTTTCTAGAAATGAGGCTGTGTCAGTCTGTGTGTGCAAGCACGTGCCTGAGCATGGCTGCAGGTGCTGCCTGGCTATGCAGCTGCTCTGCTCCATCTATTCTTTGTTTTTGCAGTTTGTCCTGGAGTGTGTGGATTTTTGTTAGCAGAGTTTCCTGACCCACGAATGCTGGTTGGAGGTGGCCAGTGTCTGGAATGACAGATTCAGGGGCAGGGTATACTGGAGGATGCCGTTCTTTTCCTCCTGCTCTGATGTTAGTTCTCTCCAAAAGCTGTGATGTCCAAGATCATAGTAAGAACAAGAATAAGCACTGCCCTACACTGACCACTCACGGAGCACCATGCTGTGTATGAAACTCCCTCTGTGTAGTATTCTGTTTTCTTGCAGCAGCAGTCCCAGAAACGCAACATTAAACTGATCCTATTAACTGAGCATGGATATGCCAGGCACCAGGCTAAGCAGTCCATTTGTAACATCATTTCCAATGTTCTGTAATCTTATAAAAAGGTATTATTGTACCTGCTTTACAGATGGGGAAACGGAGGCTCACAGAGGTTAGGCAGCCGACTCTGGCTATGCAGTTAATGAGTAAGTTAGGTTCGGGTGGGACTGCCCTCAGCAGCCTGGCTTTTCTGCCAGTGGTGGCATGCTGACCTAACATCCTTTGGCTTTTGGCTGACCAATTTTTTTCCCTCTCCGTAAGCCATGGTATTGAGGTCACCTTGCTGTCATTGATGGGGGAAAACACCCACTGCTCTTATTTATTTGTTTCTTTTTACAATTATTCCTTTTTCACAAAAATAATTCCTGTGTTGGTCCCATTTTCCCCAAACAGCATAAATGACTTAGCTACCTGGTTTGCCTCAGCAGCTGCCACTGTCTGACAGGGGACCTGTAAAGTCACGATCATAATGATGAGGGGCCTCTGGTGAACACTGTCTCCCGTGGGGAGAACAATCCCATCATAAACTCATGCCACCGAGAACTGACGTAGCAGGGAATGGATTTCTCCCTTCATTGGGTTCTGTGTTTCCCCTTCATTTCCCTTTCAAAATGCTGGAGTGTATTAAATAAGTGTTCTCTCCCCCAAGGATCATTTAAACCTCTTACACATTTTGGTTTTTCATTCCTGTGGGTTGGTTGTTTTACATTTATTTTTGGGAGGTAGATTGGGAGTAATATGGACATAAGAGACAGTTTTATTTTTATGCTTTATTCTAAATAGCCTAAGTAAATGAGGTTATGAACTCTCTGGCCAAAGGCATCATTTTCAGTGCCTACAACACTGACCATTTTGCTGGGCTTCAACAAATAATTACTACAGAAACGGACACACATGGTGTGCATTGTTTAGATGCAGCTTTAACACCAGGGTTTTGGCTGATGCAAACTTTCCAAAGCAAGCTTTGCCAGAAATGACAAATCTCCTTTCCCAGGGTGTAGCAGTTGTTTATAGGCATGAGTGGCCTCTTGCTCCCTTCCCCATCCCACCACATCTTTTCTGCCAGGCCAGTGTTTCCTCTGCCACTTTCCTTTCTTACCCTGGGTGTAAGCATGCCCCCACCCACATGGGTTGTATTTTTGTTACTGTTAATTTTCACCGCACTCAGCCTCAAGTAATGCCTCTCCTTGAGAAGCCCTGGCTGCCCTGATAAGACAAGGATGGACTCCAGAAACTTCTCTTAAAAAGATTCAGCATGTCCATTTATGTTTCTGAAAGGCCCTTGCACTGTTAAAAGTTTCCCTGTGCAAACATATTTCAGAGAATGTTTTCTTAGGCTTCAAGACTGTATTTCTTGGCCAGCAGGAAAGTGTTGTCTATATGCTTTATAGTCTGAAATCTGAGATAATCTTTGCATGATCAATAACTTGTTGATTTAGTTCAGTCACATCTTCAATATTGTCAACTCCAATTAAATGTGCAGTTCCACTCTCTACCATTTCCTCTGGGCTCCCAAATTGCCCCAGGTGCCCTGTATTCAGAGCTGGCAGCAGGGCCAGTTCCTTTTTGGCAAGAGGCTTAAAGGTAACCCAGGTGGCAAGGGAGATTGGGAAGAGCCAAGAAGTGAGGGGGAACATTTCCACTGTGACCTTTGTTTTGGCTTCCAGAGCATAGCAAAGAGAAGACAGAGTTTTGAGCCGAGCCTGAAAACAAAACCCTTGCATTTTCTTCCTGCATTTTTTTTTTTTGAGATGGAATTTCACTCTTGTTACCCAGGCTGGAGTGCAATGGTGTGATCTCTGCAACCTCCGCCTCCTGGGTTCAGGCAATTCTCCTGCCTCAGCCTCCTGAGTAGCTGGGATTACAGGCATGTACCACCATGCCCAGCTAATTTTTGTATTTTTAGTAGAGACGAGGTTTCACCATGTTGATCAGGATGGTCTCAATCTCTTGACCTCATGATCCACCCACCTCGGCCTCCCAAAGTGCTAGTCTTCCTGCTTCTTTATGACCAGTGTTAGTTTCAGACTGTTTTGAGCTGGAATTCTTGGACATATTCAGAGACAAACTGCATGGTACATTCTAAAATTTTTCCCTCCTAAGAAAGAGATTCATTTACAAGTTCTTCTGTTTTAGGAGGTTGAACATGTGAACCTCTTTTGGGAAACTTTAATTATGATATACTTTGTCAGGAAAATAGAGAGGCATTTTCAAAGGAGTAAATGAGGGATTTCTTATTATAAAAATAAAAATTGTTTGGGCAGATACTCTAAGCAGTGGTGGGACTAAGTCATGGCTGTCTATCAATCTTGCTGTATCCAACCATACGGTTTTGGCCTTTGATTACTTGGTTTTCATTTGAACAAAGACCCGTGTCATGGAGGCAGGAAGGTTCAGAGCCTGGGAAAGAGTGAGGAGCCAAGTGATTTGCCCAGAAGAAGTGAACACCAGCAGACAAAATGCAACTCACAGATGTGGACCCTGGGACAAGCCATCTAAGGGCCCAGATCATTGGATGTTCCATCCTTTCTCAGAAATCTTGCAGGTCGGGTGAGGGGTGTGGAGAGCTGAGCCTAGACCACCAGGGCTTTCTGAGGTTTTGGTGTTAGATGATTTAAAGGTCAAAACTTTGCTATGAAGAAGTCTAGAGAGATAATTGAAGGAAGACTTTGTACATTAAAGCCAGGCAGGCTCAGCCAAATAGCACACATGTCAGCCCGGTATTATAAAGAAGAGAGACTGGGAGGGAGAGAACAAACACCTTTTAAAGATTGAAAATTGGCAACTTATTTTCTGGTTGGATTGTTCCTTGAAAAATCACTTTAATCTCCAGCCATTTCCAAAGTTGTGGTGGAGGTGAAATAAGTGAATTGAGGTGATAGCACAGTCGGCTGCATTGGTTTCAAGACCTGGAGCCAGGTGACCTTCCCGTCGTCTTCTCTTTTACTGTGAAACTCCCTGAAAATGGCACCCTGGATGGTGTGGGTCTGTTTTCATGGTATTCATTGCCTTGAGCCAGCAGTTGAAATGATCCAAGGGAAAGGAAACATTGTTGCACTGCTGTTTCTGTGAAGGAATTTGTAATTGAGGTGCAGTGTGAAGATGCCAAGAAAATGTATATTGGAAAAGCCATGTATGGAAATTATGCAGCTGTCTTTGCCCAGCTCATCATAGATGGAAGATTTCAAGGTTTGTCACTAACATAGACAACTAGAATAATTATCTTCACTAGTACTATTACCAGTGAAAACCCATTTCACAAAGTTGCTTTTATCTTGTAAATAATTCAGTACTAACATTATCTCCTAAATATGCATGAAGAAATTTATCTGACATTATATGCTCTTGTGTGGTGCACAGTTGTAGAACCCAGTGAGTCTGAGGATCACAGAAATTTTATACCATTCCAGGAAATGAGTAAAGCTATAGGAAGGAGAGCTTAATAATGATCTCTATGTCTTCCTTAGGGCCCCACTGTTTCATCATTCCTGTCCGGGATGAAAATGGAAGCTTGTACCCAGGAGTGACAGCTACTGATATGACATATAAGGAGGGTGAGTTCCCAGGTGACCCCTCTCCTGTGCTTACTCTTCCTACCTGCTTCCCACCCTACTCAAGGGGACTCTGACCTACCTTACATCACTGAAATAGTGGGCGTGGAGAAAACTTCCCCAGGGAAGATGTCTGGATTTTGAAGCCTCATGAAGTCTTTTATATAGAACTGTTCAGGAATGTTGCAGATTGCCTTTTATGAATGTGCATTGGTCTAATTTTCCCCACAGCTTCTCAAATTTCCCAGTAATGAGGCAGTTTTGCCCACAACGCTGTTCAATCTTCTCTTTCCTTAGACTTGGGGGCTCTCAGATGGGTGGCTGCAGCTCTCTTCTTTGCACCCCTGGCCACCTGTTTTAGGAGCTTGAACATATGTGCTTATGAGGCCCTTGATGAGTCCTGAGACTAATTCAGTGCCTTAGTTTGCTAGGGCTGCCGTACCATTAACTCAGGGGCTTAAACAATAGAAGTGTATTGTCTCACAGTTCCGGAGGCTGGAAGCCCTAGATGAAGGTATCAGCAGGGCTGGTTCTTTCTAAGAGTGGTGAGGGAAGGATTTGTTCCAGGACTCTCTCTTCGGCTTGTAAATGTTTGTCTTCATGTTAACCTGGTGTTCTCCCTCTGTGCATTTCTGTCTCCAAATTGGCCCATCTTACAAAAGACAGAAGTCATTTAGATTAGAGCCCACCTCAATGACCTCATTTTAATTTGACCACATCTGTAAAGACTCTATCTTTAAATAAGGTCACATACACAGGTATAAGGGTTAGGTTTTCAACACATGCATTTTGTGGGGACACAATCTTACCCATAGTGCTTGATGAGATCAGGACGTGCCTGTATGCTCCGATGACTACTGATAGCCAGGGTCAAGCCAAGCCAAGGAAGGGAGTCTGAGAGAGAAGAAAAAAAAAAAAGAAAAGGAAGAACAGGAAGAGAAGAGGGAAGAAGTGGCCCATTCTTTGGTGGAAGGGACAGTCCCATCCTGGCCCTTAGTGTTTACTGCTCACTGCCACAGCTGCAGGCATGCCTTCAGGTGGGTTTGTGAGGGTTTTAGATGTATCTTTCAGGGGAGACCAAGGCCCTGGCTGGGCTGGGCTCCTTAAAAGTGCCTTGCATGTCAAATGTTGCTGAGAGCAGAGCAGTAGGCGGAGCCCTGTGAAGTTGTGCTAGACGTTGAAAACACTGGCAACAGCAGAAGTCTCTGGTGTCCTTGTAAGCTACTAAATGCAAGTATGTCCTTGTCAAGGGGTGACGTTCTAAATAAAGACATTTACTAAAGACAGATTGTTTTCCCCTAGATTTGATCTTTGGAAGTTTTCACAAACAAAAAGAAAACTCCAAACTCTGGCAGGTGTCTTTAGGAAATGTGTCTGCCAGATTTCGGGACCACCCTTCTCCCTTCCCTGCCCCACATCACTCCCCCCACTTCCTGCTGTCCTTGTGGCTATTTTCCCTTGTCTTGTAGGCATTTGCTGTCACCAGTTTGCCCTGTGTGCAGATAAGAGAACACTGGGAGGGAGGAGGGATTTGGGCACTTGTTCCCCATTCCTGGGGAGAGCAAGCCTGCTTCCCTGCTTCTGTCTTCACCTTCCCATTCTTTCTGTTGCTTGCAGCTCTCCTTTTCTTAATCACAGTCACTGCTTGGGAGGTACGTGTGCATCCTCCATATCCCCAAAACACGCAGGGTGCACAGAAAAGCCCATTCTCCATTCTCCTCATTCTTTCTAGAGAGGAAGGGGCCAGGCTGGTGGAAGAAACATGCATAGCTCATCAAGGAAACAACATCCCCATGCCCACCCAAAAGGAAAAAGCACCAACAATTCTGAAAGTAAAATAAAGAACTTTGTATTGTAGTGGAGACAGATGTGGGAAGTAGTAGGGAAAATACTTCTGATGCTGCATAGATTCCTCTTTTCTATTCTTTCCAGGTCTGCATGGTGTGGACAATGGGATTTTAATATTTCACAAGGCTCGGATACCCAGGGAGAACCTGCTAGACAAGTGAGTAGTTTCGCCTTAACTCAGTCAGGTCTATGGTGCAGATGATCTCACTGCTCTCCAAAGTTGGCTTGGTTCCTGGGTCTCATGGGCTGCATGTTTGGGCTATTTACCCATAACCACGCTTACAGGTTTGTTGACAACTAATTGGAAAAGATAGATCTGCAGATAGAAAAAATATAAAATTATTGAATCTCTGCCAGGTTTTGGTATCAGGATGATGTTGGTCTCATAAAATGATTTGGGAAGGATTCCCTCTTTTTGGATTATTTGGAATAGTTTCAGGAGGAATGGTAACAGTTCCTCTTTGCGTGTCTGGTAGAATTCAGCTGTGAACCCATCTGGACCTGGGCTTTTTTTGTGTGGTAGGCACTTAATTGCTGCCTCAACTTTAGACCTTGTTATTGGTCTATTCATGGTTTCAGCTTCCTCCTGGTTTAGGCTTGGGAGGACACAAATGTCCAGGAATTTATCCATTTCTTCCAGGTTTACTAGTTTATGTGCATAGAGTTGTTTCATTCTCTGATAATGGTTTGAATTTCTGTGGAATCTGTGGTGATTTCCCCTTTATTGTTTTTATTGCATCTATTTGGTTATTCTCTCTTTTGTTTTTTATTAATCTGGCTACTGGTCTGTCTATTTGGTTGATCTTTTCGAAAAACCACCTCCTGGATTTATTGATTTTTTGAAGGGTTTTTTGTGTAGCTCTCTTCTTCAGTTCTGCTCTGATCTTAGTTATTTCTTGTCTTGCAATCCCATTACTGGGTATATATCCAAAGGACTATAAATCGTTCTACTATAAGGACACATGCACACGAATGCTCATTGCAACACTGTTTACAATAGCAAAGACCTGGAATCAACCCAAATACCCATTGATGATAGACTGGACAGAGAAAATGTGGCACATATACACCATGGAATATTATGCAGCAATCAAAAATGATGAGTTCATGTCCTTTGTAGGGACATGGATGAACCTGGAGAACATCATTCTCAGCAAACTGAAACAAGAACAGAAAATGAAATACTGCATATTCTCACTCATAGGTGGGTGTTAAACAATGAGAACATATGGACACAGGGAGGGGAGCACTACACACTGGGGTCTGTTGGGGGGAATAGGGGAGGGACAGCAGGGGGTGGGGAGTTGGGGAGAGATAGCATGGGGAGAAGTGCCAGATATAGGTGAAGGGGAGGAAGGCAGCAAATCACACTGCCATGTGTGTACCTATGCAAATATCTTGCATGTTCTTCACATGTACCCCAAAACCTAAAATGCAATTAAAAAAATGTAAAATTATTCAACATGCTATTGTCCAGACATATTGACTGTTACACTTTAATCTACATCTTCCCAGACTTTTCTTTATGCCCATACGTCTAAAGAGATGTCAGATTTTTACTAAACAAGATCCACTTCTGGATTCTATTTGTAAAATAATGCATAATTTCCATTTAACATTATATAGCAAATGCTTTTATCTAACGCGAAGAGCACACATGCATTATTATCTTTAGTACCACTACGATAGACTGTTAAATAAATGCTTTACAAGTTACATAATCAATTTCTTATTGTTGGGCATTTAGGTTTTTTCCTTTTTTTTCTGCCAATTATAAACAGATGGGTGCTATTGCTTCCTTTGTGAGTGATAAGGCAGTATCAGCTTCCAGGTGTGTCCTGAAAGTGGAGCTCTAGGGGTTAATTTCTTTACAGAACATTCTTTACAGAAGCTAAGAAACACTTAGTACCTTTAATTTTCTCAGCAGCATTTCAAACATCCAATAAAAATCCTGAGTCATAGTCATGTTAAATCGGCGACAAAGCCAGCAATCAGGGTGCACACAACCAGCTGTCTTCCTGCCTCCCTTATGGATTTTCCTTGAATGCTTTACTCTTTTTTGTTACCAGTAGATAAATGTTGCAGTGGGTGCCAAAAGCTTAAGAAAATTGTGTGGGAAAAAGTCTTAAAATGATTGGTACAACAAACCCCCATGACACAAGTTTACCTGTGTAACAAACCTGTACTTGGACCCCTGAACTTAAAAGTTACAAAATTGGAGGATAAAGAAGTAGAGGATAGAATAGTGGTACCATAGGCTGGGGAAGGTAGGAAGGAATAGGGCACAGGGAGAGGTTGGTCAATGGATACTGTTATAGTTGGATTGAAGAAGTAAGTTCTGGTGTGATACTGGACAGGTGATATAGTTAACCATGATGCATTGTACTTTTGAAAATAGTTACGAGTTTTCAATGTCCTCATTTCAAGAAAAAATCAATGTTTCAGATGATGAATATGCCAATTATCCTGATTTTATTATTATATAATATATACATGTATCAAAACATCACACTGTACTCCATCATGTATGATTATTATATGTCAATTAAAAACAAAAGAAAGCAAAAAGAAAAAGAAAAAAACAATTTTTTTTAGTTTAATGAGGAAAGAATAGTGTTTCGACAAGTGGTGCTTGGACAAACTAGATAGCCATGTGCAAAAGCATGAAGTTGGACCTTTACTTCATGCCATTTATAAAAATCAACTCAACATGGATTATAGACCTAAATGTAAGAGCTAAAACTACACAACGCTTAGAATAAAATACAGATGTAAATTTTTGCGACCTTGGTTTAAGCAATTTAGTTAACCAAATTCTGCTTAACATTTTCCTCCTGTGAATTGATATGAAATAAAATGGAAACAATAAAAGCATCTTCACAGTTACCCTGGTGAGTGCTAACGCCCTCCAGCTCCCCTCAGGACCACCAGCATTTATATGGAAATGCAAGAAGCTCAGAATAGCCAAAACAATCTTGATAAAGAAGAACAAAGTAGGAGGACTCACACCTGTGATTTGAAAACTTACTACACAGTGATCAAGACAGTGTTATATTTGCATAAGGATAGATGTATGGACATTGGAATACAATGAAGAGTCTAGAAATAAATTTTTACAATTACTGTCAATTAATATTGCACTGTAAAGCCAAGACAATTCAATGGAAAAAGAATAGTCTTTTCCACAAATGGTGCTGGGACAAACTAGATAGCCACGTGCAAAAGCATAAATCTGCACCTTTACTTCATACCATATACAGAAATCAACTAAAAATGGATCACAGACCTAAATGTAAGAGCTTAGAAGAAAACACAGGTATAAATTTTTGTGACCTTGGTTTTTTTTTTTTTTTGAGACGGAGTTTCGCTCTTGTTACTCAGGCTGGAGTGCAATGGCACCATCTTGGCTCACCGCAACCTCCACCTCCAGGGTTCAGGCAATTCTCCTGCCTCAGCCTCCTGGGTAGCTGGGATTATAGGCACGCACCACCATGCCCAGCTAATTTTTTTGTATTTTTAGTAGAGACGGGGTTTCACCATGTTGACCAGGATGGTCTCGATCTCTTGACCTCATGATCCACCCGCCTCGGCCTCCCGAAGTGCTGGGATTACAGGCTTGAGCCACCGCGCCCAGCAACCTTGGTTTAAACAATCTATTACATGTGGCACCAAAAGCACAACTAACCAAATTAAAAATAAATTGGACTTCATCAAAGTTATAAAAAACTTTCTTGCATTGAAGAACACTATGAATAAAGTGAAAACCTACAAGTGGGAGAAAATATTTGTAAATCATATATATTAATAAGACTGTGGTATCCAAAATATAGAAAGAACTATTATAGCTCAAGAATTAAAAAGGCAAATAACTCAATTTTAAAATGAGTAAAAATCTGAATAGACATTTCTCTAAAGATTTACAAATGACTGCTAAGCATTTGAAAAGATGCTCAACATCACTGCCATTAGGAAGATACAAATCAAAACCACCACAAATGCCACTCTGCACCTACCAAGATGCCTTTTTTTTTTTTGAGATGGTGTCTTGCTCTGTTTCCCAGGCTAGAGTGCAGTGGCTGGGACATGCCTGGCTAATTTTTGTAATTTTAGTAGAGATGGGGTTTCTCCATGTTGGCCAGGCTGGTCTTGAACTCCTGACTTCAGGTGATCCACCTGCATCAGCCTCCCAAAGTGCTAGGATTACAGACGTGAGCCATCACATCAGGCCAATGTCTTTTATTAAAGTGACAGACAGGCCAGGTGAGGTGGCTCACACCTGTAATCCCAGCACTTTGGGAGGCCGAGGTGGGTGGATCACGAGGTCAAGAGATCAAGACCTTCCTGGTCAACATGGTGAAACCCCGTCTCTACTAAAAATACAAAAAATTAGCTGGGCATGGTGGTGCGTGCCTCTAATCCCAGCTACCCAGGAGGCTGAGGCAGGAGAATTGCCTGAACCCTGGAGGCGGAGGTTGTGGTGAGCCAAGATCGCGCCATTGCACTCCAGCCTGGGTAATGAGAGTGAAACTCCATCTCAGAAAATAAATAAATAAAAAGTAAAAAATAAAAAAAATAAAGGGACACATGATAACAAGTACTGGGGAGGATGGAGAAACTAGGACTGTTCGTTATACATTGCTGGTGGGGCGGCAAAATGGTGGCACCAACTAGGAAAACAGTTTGGCCATTCCTCAAAAGTGTAAAGTTATCATTTTATGACCCAGCAATTCTATTCCTAGGTATGTGTGAAAACAATGTCTACAAGAGATTTGTAAGTACATATCCACACAAAAACTTATACACAAATGTCCATAGCATAATTATTCACAATAGCAAGAAGGGGAAAGTAATCCAAATATCCAACTGAGGAAACAGGAAAGAAAACATAACATATCCATGCAATGGAATGTTATTTAACCATGAAAAGAATTGAAGTACTGACACATGCTATGATATAGACGAACCCTGAAAACATTATGCCAAGTGAAAGAAGCCAGACATCAAGACCACATCTGATATGTGAATTTTTTCCCAGAACAGGCACTGTAGAGAGAGAAAGTAGATTAATGGTTGCCAAGGGCTAGAGAGAGGGGAGTATGAGGAGAGACTGCTAGTAGGGTGGGGTTTCTTTTTGGGGTGATAAATTGATTTGGAATAGGATCATGGTGATGGTTGTACAATTTTGTGGCTATAAGGAAATCCATTGAATTGTACACTTTGAAGGGAAAAAATTTATGGTATGTGAATTACATCTCAGTTTTTAAAAAGTGGGTCAGTGTGCTGTCTGCACAGTCAGGCTCTGGTGTGGGTTTAATGTCTCAGGAAACCACTACCTCCCATGAGTCAAGCCTTTCTCAGCATCTCTTGGAGGGGACTCCCCCTGTTCTTATCTGCTTTCTGTCTCAAGGGGGAAGTTCCAGGATGGGGAAATCCTAGCGCTTCCCTGTGTGCACATGGAAGCCACCTGACTTCTTTTCTAGTGGTGCTATGTCCTGCCTTTTTGTGAAACCCCACCTCTCTTTTCCACAGGTTTGGTTCCATGGCTCCAGATGGCCAGTACCATTCTCCTGTTAGGAACAAGAGTGCAAGATTCAATGCCATGCTGGCAGCACTGACCCCTTCAAGATTAGCTGTGGCTTTCCAAGCTATGGGTGTCATGAAGGTAGCTGACTCTGATTTGAATTTATCTACTGTTAATTCTCTCTTGGCTCAGGGATGAGTAACAATTTCAGGAGCTGAGCTTCTCGATCCATGATTGGTATAAGATGGCCAGGGTTCCCGGTTAGATGCTGAGGAATGCCAGGTGTCCATCCATGGGGAATATTTCTATGCCCTTCTTAAGAGGGGGTCCCACCCATCTGGATCCCAGATGTGTGCTGCTAATCATGGAGGTGGAGCACAGGCGTTGTGCAGGAGAGATGACCAGGGAGAACGAGATGTTCAGAGCAAATACATCTGCTGGAGAAGCAGCTAAGGGCTGGCCCATGTGGGCAAAGGTCGGCATGTCTTGGCTGAGTTCACCTTGGAGTGTTGATCCTCTTGTGTCTGTACAGGGTGTAACGTTCTCCATCACAGTCTGGAGGCAATGAGGCCAGACCTCCAGGAGCCATCTCTGCCTCCCCTGCCCTGACTCTCCCATATATTGGTTTGGACAGAGGCACCTGGAGAGCAAAGCTCTGGAAGGGCCTCCTTCTCCTCCCCAGCGCCCCAGACTACTTTGTTCTCTGGGCCTTCTCTGTCTCTGCATGAAGGAAAAGCCTGCTTTAAGAAAGCTGCACTGAGCTTGGTGAAGCTGGAAGAAAAATTAAGACTCCCCAGGAATATACATCTGGGACAGGAGTCCAGCTTTTCCATCAAGAAGGAATAAATTTCATTCACCTGACTTTAGGCCTGACATAAGCCCGCAGTCATCAGAAGAGCAGGAAAATCTTTCTTTACTCACTTTGAGGTCGGCCACGCTTCACAGACGGCCTGCCCTGACCCAGGCTTCCCCTTACAGTGGTGTTTCCTGCAAGGGGCCACAGCTGTGGCCATCAACATGTGCACTCGGGCCTGACCTCATGCCTGCCCGTGCATTCCAGTTCCTGTGTTTGTTTTGTGGTGGCTCTTTAAGTGAAGCTGGGTGGGTGTTCAGGTCTGAAGCCCCATGTCAGGAGGGGCCCAGGTCCCTTGCCTGAACTGTCTGATATTGAGTGAGACCCCAGAGAGCCTTGTGGTGACGGTACCAGCACAGGCAGCATCAGAGTGCTGAGGAAAACTGGTTCCTCAGGTCTTCAGTAGAAGCCATTTCAGCCATCCTCAGGACTCCAGAGAGAGGCCAAAGTAGGAAAGCCAGGCAAGCCTAGAATTGCATGAAAGGGAAGATTGGTTAAACATCGGATGCAGGCTTAGCTGAAGCCATGATAGCAGTCTCTGCACAATATCCCCTCTAATTGCAGTAGCCTGTAGACCGTCCTGTCTGAGGGGCCCTCTGAGGAGAGTGCTGGCTGCATATCAAAAACATATGGTGGTCAACGGCTGGGGAGGCTGCTAGAAAACCCTGAGCTCTTGCTCATTTTGGAGGGGGTGATGATGCATGAAGGACATCCATGCCATCAGCAGCCCTGCAGGGTCATTGAGGTCCAAGGTGGGGTTGTGTGGGGCAAGGCATGGGGTGGTGCAGACCAGACCAGGCAGGGGTGAGGGCCTTCTGGGAGGGCCTTGGTTTGAAATGTCACCAGATCTGGGAGTGGGTGGGGTGATGTCTCAGGGAGAGGAGCCAGAATGGTGAGTTTGAAAAGGTTCCTGTTCTCCATTCTGCTGAACATCATCACAGGCCAGCCCCTGCCAGGCCCAGGAGAGTCTTGGGGGCCACATTGCATCAGTTCCTTTTACTGGTTGTCTGACGTGCAGATTTCATTCCTGGCAACACTGAGGCATGATCATGATTACGGGCAGGAAAGCTTTGGGCTCAAGTCTCATCCTGGCCATGACCAGCAGTGGGGCTGTGGACAGGCCATAGTGCTCTCTAGGCCCCAGTTTCTTCATCTGTGAAATGGGTCTTAGGATGGTGGTGAGGCATGAGTGAAGAATGTGTGTGCAGTGCTGGCCCAGAGCATTGCTCCATAGCTCGTGGCTGTTATTCGTGTGATGGTTGTTGCTGTTGTTGGTGCTCCTGCTGCTGCCACCATTGCTGTTACTGGGAAGACAGGAATTGGCTAAAGGAAGGGAAGACATGGGCTTTCCCGTGAAAAAAATGCCTGGCATCCTGGCCTCCAGGTAACAAGGCAATATGCAATGTTTTGCAGAGGTGCATAGCATCCTTTGAATTTCCAGGTGTCTGAAGCAAACCATAGTAACCTGGAATCAGCACCTGCCCTGCCCATTCAGACCTTGCCAGGCGATGGGATTGTCAGTCAGTGGGAAGACCCTGCACGGAGCCCAGCAAGGTTGAGACTCTGCGTGGTCCAGGCACACTGCCGGACAGCGACCTGGGCTGCTGTGATCTCATCTCCAGCATCTCTGGTGAGGATGATCTCACCGGCCCTCTTGGCAGCTCTTCCTCTCCTTTGGATCAAACTCAAGACATATGTTTTCCCGGCTGAAACCTAAGATGGTCTTTCTCCTTCTGCTCTTGCTGAAGAGTGGAAAAACGGATCCCTTTCTCCTACGTGCATTCCTTGTGTATTAGAAAACTGTCACTGTGGCTCCCCACAGTGACATTCACTCAAGGCTGAGCATGCCTGGTCATTTTAAACTTTGCCCAAATGTCATATTTTTTCATGGTTATCTTTCATTTTCATGGCATTCCTCAGAACTTTTGAGTTTTCTCTTAAAGCTTTGACATATTGACCATCATCTAATTTGTGTCAGAAATACCAGGACAAATTAAATGATTAGCAAGAACAGGAGGAAAAGGGAGTGAACGTGTTTGGGAGGGCTGGGAGTGGGGGCTTGGGAGACCCCTGCAGCCTGTGCTGGGAGGCTGGGAAGCCTTTTCAGGAGGAGGAGGAAGCTGGGGCACCTGAGAGAGTGAGAAATGTAAATGAGGTCTAGCCCACTCTCTGGGGTTGATTTTGCACAGAGGTAAATATTTTAGCTAAGACAAGCTCATCTTGTAAATTGGGTGCTGCACAGTAGCTGGGTCCCATCCCCATTACGTGTGATTCCGCAGCTCTGGGATGGGGTGAAGAATCTGCATTTCCATGTTCCCAGGTGACACTGCTGCTGTGGGCTCTGATCCTTAAGACCCCTGCACAGAACATGTGGATATGGTTGTGAAACACCGGCACTGTCTCAGTCCCCTTGTCACCCTCTGGGCCCCCAGGATCAAGGCCCAAGTTCTGTTCCTGTATCCAGGATCCTTTGTGACCCTCACAGCACTCCCTCTCTCCTCATTGCCGTCTCTCCCCTGTGCCACTGTGGGAGGGGGCTTACACGTGCTGCCATCCTGCTAAGGAGGCCCCCCCCTTTTTCATGTACATTTCAGAGCTTGTATGACTCTCCTTTCTTCAGAAAGGCCTGTCTGTATGTGGTTCTTCTGTCACCTGTTCCCAAGGCACTGGACTCCTTGCTTATAGCGTTTATTACAACTCATGTGTGTAACAACTCATGTGTAGTAGGTGGGTTCTGACTCCTTCACTAGCCTAAAAGCTCCACGCAGCCAGGGCCCTGCCAGCATCATCCACTGCTGTGTGTTTAGCTTCACACACAGGGCTGGGCACATAGTCGACACAGCAAATAGTGAAAGAGTGAACGAGGTCTGAATTAGGATTCACATCCAAAGCCCCTGCCCTGGCATAGCTCTTAGCAGAGGGAAGCCCTCAGTATGTGTTGGTTCTTGTGCTCCCACATTCCCAACCCCCCTGCCAGTCCATGTTGGTGGGAAGGAGGATGTTGCTGCCTCTGATCTAACTCCATGTGGCCCTTCTGTCCAGAACCGGGAGTCTCCTTTCTTTCTTCCTCTCTGTTCCAGACACTGATCCTCATGGTATGTGCTTCATGTTTCCTTGCTCATGCACTGTACAGTAAGCAGGCACTGGGGTCATGCTCACCTACACTTGGCAATGTGGCCCTGGTGGTCTGGGAGTGTGCTCAGGGCTGGGGCTGCGGAGTCACAGGCAGCGGCTGAGCTGCAGGGCCGCACACTGAGTGCAGCCAGCATTCTGGGCTGTCTTTTCAGGCATGTGGGTGCTGGGTGGCAGACACATGCAGCCAGTCCTGAGAGCCTGAACGACCATCTTCAAGTTGTACAGGGACCCACATGTGAGTTGGGGTAGCTCTTTCCATCCCCAGGAGCTGCAGGGAGAGCAAAGGGAAAAAAACTGGCTTCAGGGGCTTCTCAGACCCAGCGATAGACATGCAATCTTTTCCTACAGGGTGCGTTGTTGGGTGTGAGTGATGGGTCCAGCAAGGCATGGGAAAGTCGCTCCTGCTGTTGATGGGGGTTTGAAATGGGATACTGTGTCCTTGAGTAACCTTTTTGTGACCTTCTGACTGCAAGGGTTCATGGACGATTCCAGCAATGAAGAGGAGGTTGAGGGTATCCAAGTCGCCTTGAGAGCCAGCAGGGGTTGGTCAGTGGCCAGCATGGGCCCTTCTCACCACACAGGGAGTGGTGGTGTGGCTCTGTGGGCCTGTGCTGTGTTCAGTAGGCACAGCAGGCTGCATGCTGCCACTGCTATGGGGTCTTGCTCGGGGTCGCCCCTTCACCCAAGCTCTGATACAATGCCAGAGAGGTCCCAGTATCGATAATCCTCACTGGGGTGTCCAGCTCCTGGTCATCCACCTCTCCACCACTCTGCCTGTGTGCTTCAGCTACTGACTGGAGCTGGAGCAGATCAGCAGGTGTCAGAGAATGACATTGTATCTGTCCTAATGGCCACAAACCAGGTGCATGACACTTCCTCCTGAGCAGAAGGTTACTCAGCCTCCTCACATTAATAATCTCAATGTTTGTAGCCACTGCCATAACACGACCAGGCGTTAGTCTGTTTCCTTTGCTTGGAGGTCACCTGCTCTGATTTTCTTCTGGAGTCACTTTGTGTCCATCTATTCTTGTCATCAATTGATCTCATTTTTTATCATTACTAACACAACCTTTAGTGGGTAGGGATTGTGTTTTTTTTTAATTTAGTCTCAGTGCAAGACCTAGTAGAGCCCTACATGTCATGGAAATCTTTT